GGGTGGGGAGGGGGCAGGGAAGGGAGGGGTTGGCAAGGCGGGCAGGTGGAGCGGTCTCGCCACCGCCGCACTACCCAAGGGCCGAGACTTGCACCTTTAACCGTCCCCCCGCCTTCCGTCTGAAGAGATCCTGGCCATCTCCCCCGCGCTCCACATGAAGCGACGCGGGAGTAGCTCCGCAGAGAACCCTGAAACGCGAACCGGCGGAACCCTCTACACCCGGCCGCGCCGCGCTCGCCAGGCCCCGCGAACAGGGCTCGCGCAGCCGCGACCAGGCAGGGGTGCAACCGCAAGATGGGGGCGGTGAGAGGAGGGGGGCTCACTGCCATTCGTCTTGTTGGCCAGTATGTCGAAGAGCCACCGCTTTTCCGGGTCCTTTGGCAGCAGCGCGGGCCCGCCGTGGCCGCCGCCGCCGCCCGCGCCCTGGCTGCCAAACATGCCGGTGCCGCCGGGGGCGCCGGGGGACGCGTCGTCCGGGCCTGCTTGGGGCGGAGTGGGTGGATGGTGTGGGGCGGCTTGAGTTCCAGCGAGCATGTGGTCCGGGGGCACAGGCAGACGGGCCACCAGGCAGCAAGGGGTGTACGAAGAGCGAGGGCGTCGTGGATCCGATTGCTCGCGGAGCCGAACGCTCACGTACAGAGATCCCCCTTCACATGCACCACAATGATTGTCGCAGCCAATCAACCCCTTCAGCAATGCACCCGAGCGGCCCCCGCCGCGCCCTTGCGGGGTGGCGACACCCGGCCGGCCCCGCGGCCACCGCCATGTTAACCCGGCGGCACCCCCAGCCGCCTGGCCCCGCAACCAAAGCGTGCGCAGCACGGCGCGCCTATCGTCCCGCGCCAGGCGGCTCCTCAGACAGCCCCTGCTGCCCCGACAATCCACCGGCTCGCAACACGGACCCCCCTCCTTTGGCAGCAAACGACTGCCAAATTCCACCCCAGGGTCAAACGCGCGCGTGGAGCAAACAGGGACCCCCGGGCGATGGTACCCAAAGCGCGGCAAAGCGTGCGCGACGTGTGTGTGAGAGGGGGAGGGACGCCCAAGGGGCGGCGCCGCGCAGCGCCCACCGTCCTGCGCTAGACTGCCGCGCATGAGGTCCTTCACCAGCCCCAGCTCCTTGCGGCCGCTGAAGCCGGGGCCGAGGTCGAGGCTGTTGGCGTCGACACAATGGTCGAGGATTCGCTCCGACATGTCCTCGTGGTGCCTGGTTTGGTGTGCGTGTGTGTGTTTGTGTGTGTCTGGAAGCTTGTGTGTGTGATTTTAAAGGGCTCATGTTTGTGCGCTCTGTGTGTGTGTGTGTGTGTGTGTGTGTGTGTGTGTGTGTGTGTGTGTGTGTGTGTGTGTGTGTGTGTGTGTGGCTACAAACCACTGCCCCCAAACATTTGCAACCCCACCACGCGCGTGCCCGGGTGCGCTGCCGACTGCCTCGCCTCGAGCCCCACGCCCGCGCCCCGCCCGCGCCGGCCGCCCCCTCTTCCCCTCCGCCCTGCCTCTCACCAGGTGGCAGCCGCGCTCTCCCCCAGCACGCGCGGCAGGAGCTCGTTCTCAAACACGTGGCTGAACGGGCCGTGGCCTCGTGAAAGCAACAGAGGATCACAGGTTTACAGGGAAGAAGGAGTGCAGAGGGGTTGATTAGGGGTTCACAACATATGTGAAAACGCATGCGTTTGACGTGGTCAGGGCGCGTTGAGGGCGGCGTAAGGGGGCCGGGATACAGGGAGTCGTGGCGCAAGGCGGGCTCCGCATGCTGCGCGGGCAGGCGCACGCGGGAGGCGCGCGCGGGAGGAGCGGCTCGCTGGGCTCACCTAGGTCGTGGCAAAGCGCTGGTGGGGCGGGGCGCAGCAGGTGAACGTCATTCGGATGAGATGATTGTCAGATGGAAGTTGTTGCTGGTAAGCCCGAGGCATGCTGACAGGGGCGCGGGAGCGCGCCGGGTGTGCGCAGTTGCTCTCTGCTGCACCAACCCGCTGCACCCCCGCACGTGTGCGTCCGCCGCTTTGCGCGGCCGTCACAGCCACAGCCGCGAACGGCGCTGGCCCTGCCGCTGCAGGGCCAAACCGCCCAGGTTATTCAGCGGCCTGCTTTGCTGCGCACAACCACCGCTTTGCTGCCCATCTTGTGTCTTGGCCTTTTGCCACATCAACTGCGATCCCATCCCACCTGCCAGCTCCAGCGCGCGGACACTGTGCCGGTCCTCCCTGTGGAGGTTCCCGTCCGAGCGGAAGCTGCCGAGAAGGTGCTGCGCCCAGCTGCCCGCCAGGTGCGCGACGCCGAGCGAGTGCTCGAAGCGGCCGTGGGACGCGCCGGGGTAGACCTTTGGGACGGCGCAGGGGTGTGTGAGAGCGACTGTGTGCGATCACCAGGCCCCTGGCAGGCGGAGCTTCGAGGCGCCCTGCCTCGCCATTTGCGCGGCCAGCGGCCCCGCCCGCCCGGCTGCGGCGGCCCGAGCCGCTCGGCTCACAC